AGTGACTCAACTGAAAATAAATTAAAGCTAAATAACCAAATTAAGATAACTTAAAGTTTAGTTGAACAACTAAAATTTCGCTGAAAGTCACCATTTAATTTTGGTCAGATAGATACATGAATAAAAACAAAATAGTTATATAATTATATGGCATTTTTTCTTTCAGTGAATATTGAAATTGCAATACAAAATCTATTGATGAAACAATTACAACCAAAGATTAAATATAAATACAATCAACAATCCTTTCACTTATAGATTCACTTTTTAAATACACTATTCTAGATGCTTCGACTAGAACAAGATTAGAAATAACTATTAGAGGGTGAGATATTTGAATTGCATGTATGCGCTCTTCTTCAATCATAGGATTATTCATAGATTTCTCTCTAGGCATTACGGTAGTTAGAACATTTCTGTGTTGCCCCCAAGTGCTGACTTTTTATTGGTTGCTTCTTAACTGATTTAGTTAAGAGACACACTATATTCACTTGCCCACGTGCTCTTTATCGACGGCCTATAACCAACCTATAGTTGGCAAATGGTTTGAGATTTTTTTGACACTACAACAAAAATGACCTTTTGCAACATGAAAAAGGCAACATTCATTACTTGAATGTTGCTAAAGGAGTCTACAGCAACATTCGCATAAGTGAATGTTGCCATTAGTGAATAAAATAGAATTTTGGCAACGTTTCTTAATGCATGTTGCTAATGCCACTTTTCGCAACGTTCAGTGAACGTTGCGAAATGTTTTGCCAAAACTCACTTTTTGCAACATTCCTTAAATGCTGCGAAAAGTTTCACTTTTTGCAACGTACGTAAAAACGTTGCCAAAAGTGACTTTTCGCAACGTGCATAAGAACGTTGCTAAAAGGTACTTATAGCAACGTTCTTTGGACGTTGCGAAACGTTAACCAAAAGAAAAAGTCCAAAAAATCAAATATATTATCCCTAATTTTTTCTTCTCCTCTCCTCTGCTCTCGTCTCCACCTCAATCTTCTCTCATTACATCTTTCCCACAATACTCCCTTCCTCTCGTCTCCACCAAAATAATCCAAACCTTCATTCACCTCACACACACAATACTCATTCCCACCTCACACACATAGAAGCTGTGTTATGATTATCTTCAATTGGTAAAAGAAATTGGTATTTTTCTCAGCCAGCCCTACTCTCCACCCTCTTGCGAAATTCAGAAAAACTCGCAAATTAGTTCCCCTTCCTTTCATTTTCTCACCGTTGTGAAATTTCCCCAAAGTTGTGGTTTCTCTCTTTCTTACTGTACTCTCTGGATATATAGAAGTGAAAGAAAACCATGGAGAAGTTCGATCGACGAATACAACCATTTCTTCATCCTGCTGTCTTCATTTTCTACGACTTGGACCGGCGCTTCTTCACGCGGGTGTGATTTGAGCACGTTTTCGTATTTATACCCTCAAATCGTGAGGTATGTCAATTCGAGATGTGCTTTAGTTTAGGGTTCTTTGGCTTAGTGAATAATTGATTAAAATGTTTGGCGAACTTCATGAGTTTATACATTTGAATATGGGCTACTGGTTCGTTTATAAGTTTTTCTGGAGGTGATGATTTCTAATTTGCTGTTCTGTCCTTAAGATTATAGAAGCAATTGAATCAATACAGTTTATATTAAGCTTCTCCAACCTCTAGTTTGGTCTTCCCATAATTGTTATGTTTGAACTTTTTCTTTGTAGATTGCATCACTTACAAAGGAAAGAAATGTTGATGAAATGAAAGGGTGCAATAGTCTTGATGATGGAAAAGAACTAGTTAGTGGAACTATTGTTCAGGTAATGAGGTGTTATGGATTCTTTATTTAGTATTTTCACTGAATTTTTCCAGTTCTTCTGTGCTCATAATTTCTGTTATATTGACAGCAGCTAGAATACTCTCTTGCCAAGAAGGAAAGAGTTATTTGGGAACTAGAAATTTGTCTAATTAATTACCTAACTAATTAGTCTATTTAATTGACTGAAAATTTGATTGAAGATCTTATCATTCACACCTTTTATGTCTCATTGTCTCTTATGGTGCATAATATCACTGTTTATATTGAAGCGAATAATGAACGTCTTTAAATATATTGACTTGATGGCCTCGATAGGTTAATGACTTATTTTTCTGATCATGAAGTAGCTACTTAGCTAATTCTTAATTTGCTAAGTGAAAGGGATTTTACACACTAGAATAGTATGGTTGTTCATTTTCGGAAACTTGCTTCTGATTTTTAAATTCTAAGTTGTGATTTATATTGCTACTCAAATACAAATGGATGGTTTTCTATCATATAGAAATCTTTAGCTAAATTAAATTGGAATTATAGTTTTCTATCAATTATTTATTTTTTATTTTTTTGTGAATGATTTTAATGTACAGTAGCATTAGAACATGCTAAGAAGATATTCAATGAAATTTATATAGTTAGGTGATCATTTGTTATTTATTTATTTATTACTCTATAATGGAAGTTTTCATTGGATTGTAGTTTAATACTGAGATATTGCTTTGCTTTCTGTAGTTTCTAAGAACTCAGCGGTGAATATAGAGACCTTTAATTTGTTCTAAATTCTTCACTACATATGTCTTGCATAGGGTCTTGGTAAAGCAATTAAATACTGATGCAACTGATACATGCAATTGTAAATTTCATGAGCACAAGATGGTGAAACTAATTCATAAGTTTCAACCTTGAGAGAATCAAGCAATTGAATAGCAATTTACTGTAATGTTTTGATGCAATTTTCATTAAGACACTTCTGTATAAATATCCTCTTTGATGCTAAATGTGGCCTAGATCTGGAAGTGGGTGCATTCAACATCTATGTCATCTTCAGCGTACTTGTAGGGCTCAATTAATTATACTTGGTTAATTGGTTTGTTATGTATGATAAATACTAGGTATTAAGGTATATAATAATAAGAATTAAGAAGGCAAAAGTGAAAAGGCAGAAGCCAATTTGAAATGGTGAAGTTTGAGGAATTGAAATTTTGTTCGAGATCTTGGAATAAATGGAATTTGTAGCTTTCTAGTTTCTGCCCTTTCTTATGAGTCAGTCAGAGTTACAAACAAATGTTAATAATTAATATCAATTAGGAAGGGTGTGTTTAAGAGTTTTTACATTTTAAGTTCTTTGATTGTTGGGTAGTAGGAAATCCTTGTCATTTCTAATATTTACTCTTCCAGTTGTGAAATTGAACCTGATGTCCTGCTTCCTAATCTTAGCCAGAGGCAAAACGAAAACCTCGTAGCCGAAGCCAATTGTTAATAAGAATATTTACTTATGATTTATGAAGCATCAGTAATTCTTGGTTTTTTAGGATTTTTTTGTTTCATTGTAAGTGAAGCATTTTGATTCTTTAAAGTACTGTGCTATTTGCTAAGAAGAATTTAGATCAAAATTCTATTATAAATGAATTTTATGCTATAAAACATCGTCGAGTACAACTTCAATAGGTAACTTATATTATGAATTTTTCTTATTATATATAAATTTCAGTCGTACATTAGAATTTAAAAATTTTTAGCCCACCGTAATAATAATTCTTGGCTCCGCCCTTGCTTTTCGCAGACATGCTTGACTTCTTTCTTTGTAGAGTAGTATTACAGCTTGCTTCCAACAATCTTATTCATTAGACTGCGTTCTCGTGGAAGCAGAGTACCAGGTATGACGTTTAGGAGACTTACTCTAATCTACTTTCCTTTCAATATGAATATTATGCTCTCACACATTT